TAATCCAATAAGACAAAGTTGGCAGGATGAACGTATGTTTTCCTGAAGAAGTGTGTTTTTCACTCCACAAGCTCTTTATCACACTATGAGCAGTATTGTTCATTCTCCCCTTGGCCATCAGGTCACCCAGGAGGAGGTTCTCATTTGTCCATCTCACACTGCTGTCCTGGCCAATTACTCTGATCTAATGTGAACCCTGGCAGGCATCTGCGGTGACGCCAGATGCTACTGCACAAACCCGCCAGCTCCCAGTGTGGCTTTTATAATATTAAACAGATTGTCTTTCTTTGTTGATGCAAAGGAAACCTCATTGCACTGGCACGAGATCTGATATAGTACGAGGAGTAGGTTTGTTGCGTTTATATGAGTGAGTGGATGTGTACAGTTTAAATCTAGCACTTCCACCCTTTACCCACGTGCCTTTCTGCTTTTTGCCATGTTTTTATAAAATCAAAGCAGCCTGTGTCAGGCTAGACCTCATCATCATAGCACAATATTTTTTGGGGCAATTAACCAATTGTAAAACAAACGCTTATTCTGTGTTCCAATTTAGGACTTTTTAAATATTCTGTAGCTTAAAAAGTAAAAACCTTGGAAAGTATTGTGCTGTAACTGCAGACACACTGCAGTCCACAGAAAATTCAACATCAGTGATTCATGGCAATAAAGGTGATAATAGTATATGATTCTGCAGAAGCTTTTGGAATTACTCGGACTAAAGGTTGAAGCACAAGGACATTCTCTTTCTGCCTGTAAATGAAAGCTTTTTGCAACACAAGACATTCAGCTCAAATATTTCAAAGACGCATTTGAAAAATCCTGCTAACCTCTAATAAACTGCAGTTTTGACCTTGCCTATGCATGCCTCAATAGATGAAAAGATTAAACCTTGTACACATTCCTCCAAATAAGCACAGGAACATAATAAACGATCCCTCCATTAATTGCTTCACAGATGTCGCTAATAATTGTGTGAAGAGTTTCTATAACCCATCAGGTTCTACTGCGCACATCATCAATCATGTTTTGGTTGGAGACATAAAACATATATATTCATCCATCCAATCATTTTCTTCCACGTATCGAATTCTGGGCCCCAGTACGGCTGGAGCCTATCCCAGCTGCCACAGGGCGAGAGGCAGAATACACCCTGTGCAAGATGTCATTCTATCATAGGACTAACGCAGAGAGACAGACAAACATTCACACTTACATTCACAATTAAAGCAAATTTAGAATCAGCAACTAACCAAAGATGCGTGTCTTTGATTGTGGGAGGAGTCTGGAGTCCTGGAAAAGACCCCATGCAGACATGGGGGGGCTATGGTGGTAGGGAAATCTGGCCAGGATCCTTCTTGGACACCTCCTACAGTAGGTGAGGTGTTTCACGAGATTTCAGGACAGACCAAGGATAGAAAGAAGATTGTGTTTCTGGGCTGGCTAGTTATTTATTTCAGTTATTTTATATTGGGGTCAAAATTACACTAATTAGTTTTGTCATATAAACACAATATGAATCATGTTTACTTGAAATTACTGAAAACTAAAGGATTAAGAGTTAAAAGATGGTCGATTAGCTATTAAGTAAAAGTGGATTGTTTTTTGGATAAAAACTACAAGTTGCATTAAAGAAAAGTAAGCATTTTTGTAACTTGCCGAATTAATAATAATAATCTATTTTTTGTCCTTACATGACAGATATTATATAACTAATGATGCTGCAAGAAAAAAAAAAGGTTTTACTATTTTCCTTTTACAATAAACTGTTTTTGGGGTCCTCAGGGACGCTATGTTAAATATGGTGGTAGAATAAAAGAACTCAAACAAACAGCTGCTGGTGTAATCTTTAAAGTTATTCATGTAGAAAAAAGCGCATTACTTGGAAAACAACTGCAGCAATGTGTGCAGTGCAGGAACCAAGCAAAACTAAGTGTTCAGTAACTGAGCTCTGAATGAACTTAGTTCTATGACCTAAACCAAACTTCTCAGGCGTTGCAAGTGTGCCTGCTGCACGTCCCAGCTCCAGTCCAATCTGCAAAGAAGGCAGCCACACAAATAGG